CATACATGAATACGTAATTGAATTTTGCGGCGCTTGTCGATTTTGTTTTTCCCGCCAGCATTTGAACTGTTTTCCATCCACTCCCACCCCGATTTCCACCCATAGCTGTGCTTTTCCTTGACTTTGTTGCACACTTGCCAGCGCATCCACTTAATTTGAAGACTTTTCCTTTCCGCTGACAGAAGTCCCTGCACCGACTTGTTGCATCAGGGTACACACGAACTGAATAGATTTGGCCTAATTTGCAGCTTATTAAGAAATGTTGTATTTGTTCCTAAATTGTTCTCACCACCAACACTCATTGTCAAAATGTAGTAGACTCACTTTTGGAAAGAGTGAAGCAATATAGCGTGAAGCAATCTGAATTATTGACTTTTAAAAACTAGATCTTAGACTCTAATCATTTTACTAATGCTTGGGCTTCCCCTAGAAACCGTGAAGGATTTTTGATTACTAGCCGGATTTCGCCCGTCACCTGACTTAATTGCAATTGGCAATGGGAGTGACTTCGGGTTGGTCGAGAAGTTGGAACAGAGCTTCAGCGGAGAACTCTAATGCAGTCGGCATAATAATTATCTGCAGCATCAGACGAGAAAGAGAAACGGCCAGAAGTCTGTGACATGAAATTGAAATTGAATATGAGTACTTCATGTGTGTGTATTTTCCTATGGCGCAGACCCGTAACGACGTGCCTGGTATGTTTAATTATTTAGGATGATATTCAAAATTGGAATGAGTGAGAAAAGATGAGTAGGAATACCGATTTTTATATGCGCTGCGATGGCCGTTTAATAAAATCCGAAATTAGCGGCGCACAAATGTGAGATCTCGATCTCCGTTCTCCGTTCTCCGTCTGAGTCAGACATTCCGACGTCTATGCGGACTTATCTCCAGCACTTATCTCCGGGAACTCGAAGACTGGATGCTGTGGACTCCAAACACGCGATGGAGAATTGTGAAGACTCCATTTAATTGCGGGACCCGAGATGCAGCACTTTGGGTGATTGCATCGGTGCACTGACAGTTGATTATGCGTGCAATTAGATCGCATCATCACTCACCATTTTTTAACACTTTCCGACCCTCCCCGCACCTGCCCACAACTACTGCCCTAATGTCCGTTCATCAATCAGATTGGCGGCTTGGTAGAACTACACACTTTTCCCCGACATATATCTCTGCTTCGACTAAAATCATTGCCTTATACATAGGTGCACTCGGGGCTGGAGTCATTATTTCCACATTTACCCTGCTCATTTATCAGTATTTTCTCTCCCTCTGCAGATTGCGCCCACAACTTACCCACAAAAACGGGGGAAAAGTAGGGGAAAATTTCAAATTTCGGGCTGTTACTCTTTGGTTTTGAAAATGTACCGCATTTCTTGTTGGCTTTGTAATTTAGACATTAATATAAGTGTCTCACTCATTTGGCTGGCTCTTGTTGGGCCGTTTTCTACCTTTTTGGGATCATCTGAGGCTGTCTTAATGAAAGTAATTATCGCGCAGTATTTGAAAAGGGGAGGAGTAGGGGAGAACGTATTACATTTTTTAGGAAAAAGCAAATATCATTAATTTCCTTAAGTCCCTGGAAAATCCCCTCAAATCAACCCACAGCTGTTATAACTAGACTCCGCCAAATTGAATTCGACACTAAAATCAAGTGATATATCGATGAGCGGCTTTGAGGTCATTTAGTGGCATTAGGCTGGAGCATCATCAGTCGGCCTGATCCGCTCAAATTACCGCAGTGGGCTTAGCTCCGTTTTTTACCACTTGCCACCCCTCGTTTCGATGGGCCGTAAAAAATGACAAGTGCAAGGTGAAAAGGGGTGCATAAATTTAGCCAAAATGTATCGCATTGTTTCTGCCCGTTTCTGGGTGTTTAGCAACCCTCGCAACTGTTCGAAGAGGGTGGAAATAGGACGACTGACTGAACGTGGGTGCTTCGCTGCCCCGTAGCATGTGTTTATGGGTTTGACTTTTCATTTGATTTAATTTGCCATGCCCAGGCCCATTCCCATTCCCATTCCCAGCCCCCGAGGGGAGGAACTGTGGCCCCAGATTAACTGTTAGCTTTTGGCACGTTCATCAGAAACAATAAAATCAAATAAAATCCTCAACGCCCACTTAGTTATGGTTGTTGTCACTTCATTAAGAATGAGCTGTGAATATTTAATATATGGTTGCAGGGAAAGCCGGTTGGGGGAAACAATGAAAATCTATCAGTACTTGAAATATATGCAATTATTTTTACAGATTACGGTGTCGGGAGTGAGCTCTAAATAATAAAGGGTGAATGAAATTTATTGACTACACTTTGCAAAAGTAGGAACTCTAAATTATTTGAAGCAGCTGGAATACACTATGAAACCTCAAATATTAGAGCCCCACCAAAATAAACTTGAATAATTTCAGCTAAAGACTTACTTAATACTTCTGGTCTGTGTTTACTTGATTCGGAACTTAGGTTTGCTTAAACGAAGATCATTTTGGCTGAACTAGTAGCTATTCTATTTTCTTTCCATTCGGCACCCACGCACATGTCATCTCGGGATCCTAGGTTTCAGTCCGCAATTTGCAATCTGTTGGCCTTGTGGTCAGGGGTGCATGTCATATATTATGGGGGTCTCGCCGCAAAACCCTTTTTCCAGCAGCTCTTTGCACTTATCTTCTTTGCTCGCCAATTCATTTATTCATAATTTGCGGTTGGCAATTCCAGCAGCTGGAGGGCAGCACTTGTTGGCTGAAAAGGATCAGAGGATCAACACCGGCGGCAGACTGGAAATGTGATTTAGGGGCTTGGATTTGACTGCAATTGCCTGAAGCCAGTGCCACTAGGTATTTTGCATTGCGGTTTTTCTGGGCCCAACCAGATGCCTGATAGTTTCCCCGGGCCCGACTTTTGCAATGGGTCGTGCGGTTTCTCGAATCGGTCATGGCCCAAAACGAATTTCGTGCCAATCACGATAATATCTGTGTCACTGGAGCGTTTCTAAGCTGGTGGCCCGGTGGCCTCCGCAAACAATGGCTGTTGTCCAATGCCCAGTAGTGGCCCCCGAAAAGATGTCGGCGGCCAATTAGTGATAGGGCCCAGAACACCACAGACTTCGACTTACTTTCTCCGTACTCCTTCCATTCCATCTCGCTCCGAAATAATAGTATTTCGCGAACAATGACAAATTCTGCGGCGATTCTGATTTCCAGCATTTTTTATTTGCCGAATTCATAGTCACGCTGGCGTTTTCGCTCTAAGCGGCTTACCTTGTTGGCGCAGTCGGCAACGGTCGACTTTAATTAACAGCTCATCAAGATGAAGTTGTTCGGCATTAATTACATCTCACCTGGCCTTCGCCTTTCCAGCCAAATCGTCTGCCTGTCGGCGGCTTTTCTCCCACATCAAATCAAGTGGCAGCAAGTAGCCATCCAAACAACTTAAAAGAAGAATATCAAATAACTTAAGCAACAAACTTGTTTTTTTGCCTATACACATAGTCTAAAAAAATAAAAACTATCAGAGCTATTAATCGCTACAATCCAATGCCAATACTTCAAACTGTTAAATCCTTTTCTTCCTTTTTCACTTCACATACCAAATATATTATTAGGTATAAACAGAACATATAAATTGCTTATTTCCTAAAAGCTCTGTTTTAGATTACATTTATTTACGTTACATTTTAAATTAGTTGTTCCTAGGATCAAATTTATATTTAATTTGTGATGTATCCCAATAATACATTTTAATCAATATTTTCCACCCAAAATTGCAAAAGCACCACTCATGTTCAGGATGCCAACTTAAAGAACTCCCCTCGCACTCCCTGATCGTTCCACTTACTCGCTCGCTGGTGCAGGCATCTCAAAGATCCGACAACGATGTGTAAATCGATTCATCGTTTGATGCCGGCGATCGTGGATGCTGATGCTGATGATGATGTTGATGATGATTTGGTGATTTTCTTTATTATTATTACTGTTTTTAACCAACTTCTTATTACAGCGAGTTTTTAGTTTTTTTTCGTTTTGGGCTTGTTGTTTTTTCCTCGAGAGGTGTTGAAGACTTGGCGGTGCCAGATAAAAGGCGCTACAAAATTGCTTTCTACCCGCCGCGCCTCCACCAACTGGGCGTTAGAGAGGGAAAGGGCACCGGAGTCGAAACGAGATGGAGCTAGAGATTCCACACATCAATTCATTTGGACTGCCATGGACTGCGGAATATCCAAAGTGTGAGGGAAAAAACTACCGTTTGGCAATCAAAAAGCCATGGAGTACCGCCGGCTGATGATGTTGCCAGTCGGTAGGTGAGGTAGGATGATGAAAAAGTGGGCTGTAAGGCGTTAATTGCTCATTATTGGGCACACTTCATGTCACACACAAAATGCAGACGCAGAAATTTATACGCTGATTGAGTTGTCCAAGCCGACAATGATCGTCATTATTACGATGAGGATGACGCACTCCTCCAGTTACCTTTTTTAATTTCTTCCACCTCCGCTGCCGCCCTCCTTTTTAACACATCGTCTGCTTCTTGTTCAAGTACTAAATTACATAGTTTTTCAAGTGGAAAAACTCAAGAAATTAAGTTTAGGCTGCTGTAGCTGTTGATGTTGCTGTGGCCTTTGTTAATTGTAGGCTTTGGACCTGCTGCTGCCGCTGGAGCAGTCGCTCATGATATTCTGCACTTGGAACTAAAAGCGTTCCTAATATAAAACATGTATCTTCTTTATGTTTAAAACAGAAAGATTAAAAATTGATCAACATTTTACATTTTGTATTCAGTGGCTGTTTAGTTCTAACTAATAATGCAAAATTATGAATAATTTTTAAAAACTAAAATTTAAATTGATGAATAGTGCGTTTTTAAATTGGACACTATCTGTAAGCAAGGTAACAGATAAATGCTACAATCTTTAATAAAATGAAATACTTTTAGAATATAAAAAAATGAGTCCAATATTATTTTTATTATTTTGTATGCCACTGCAGAAGTCAACAAAAGGTTTTGGTATCTCCCTTATCTTTATGAGTATTTATTGTTTATAAAGTCCGGGAACTTTTTCAGAGTGTACGGCTGTTGCATTTGGCTGGACGTCAGCTCACGTCCGGGGCTAGTCCGATGGATGGATAGATGGATGGATGGTCCACTGACCATGCGCAGCTGCGTTTTGCGGCGGCGAAAAATCTAAGTTCCCCGGACTTGAGTTTGACTTTAATTGCTCTTGACAGTCATCACTGTCAGCGGCGGCAACTGCGCCCCCCATCATCGTAATCATCGCCATCATCGCCTTCGCCGTCATCATCGTCATTTTGGACATCATCATCGTGGTAACGTGGCAACAGTGGTTGCCGTTTGCCAATCTCGCTGCCCCAATCAACATGCGCTTGTCAAACCAGACTGGGCCCGTAATTTCTGGTTGGGTTAGACCAACCGACTGGGGCTGGTAGATGTTAAGGCAGAGGTAGTGTTACTGGTACTGGGTCTGGAGTCTCGGGTCTTGGGCATGGGCTTCTTGCCTAATATGGCCGCCATTTTGCAGAGTCATTTGCGTTAATGGCGGCTCCGTCTTCGCCGACTTGGCTCTGACTTCTCGGCTCTGGGGCCTAAACAGGCGCTATCCCATGCATACCATGTAATTAAATGAAAATTTAGAAATTAACATTAAATGAATACAATTAGAGAGAGCGATATAGAAGGTAGCCAAATTTGAATATACACCGAAATCGAATAAAGAAATGATTTTTACTCTTCAGATAAAAAAATTTGAAATTTTAAGGAATTAAATAATGTTGATTTTCCAAGTAAAACGACCCTCGCAATGAAATTATTTAAGATATGAGTTGTACAATTTCATATAGAAAACCTTACATCTGTCAATGTTTTCGTGGCACACTATAGTAGATAAAACGGGACAGAAAGTTCATTAACACTTTGTTTAAATACATTTGGCAAAAATAGGCCTGGTCACTTTAAAGTTATTTCCCATCAAATAACTGTTCGCCTAAATATAAGGCGCTACCAGTCAAAACTTGTATTGTATTCGCCGTTGATAAATTGCCGAAGATTAACTGCCTGGATAAGCCTTGAGGGTTAAGACAAAGAGAAATGAGACTCGAGGCACTTTAAAACGGTTCTCCCAACTAATATATTTATTTAAATTCCTGCAACATTTTTGAAATGCTGAAAGCATTTTAATTTTAACTTAATGTTGCTAATTTGTCAAACATGCTTTGTTCGATTTGGCAAAAAGTCCGTTGTTTACCAAACTTGTATTGTTGTTCGTGTTTTTTATTTTCCATACATCGTTTCCCACTCGCTTGTTAATTGTGACTCATTCTAAGGCGTAAATTATTAATTTTCCAATTTCAGAAATTTATTCACATATTTCTATGATTTATGTTTATTAATGTGAAGTTCATAAACCGTTACATTTTTTTGTTTTAGCTGAAATCATTATTATGAAAAATTATTACGTTTTATTGTACGTTGTTTTTTGTTGGTTGAAAATTATGATTTTATTGTTGGCTTTTGGTTGTAATTAATGTTGACACATTTGTTGTTGTCAATGTTTACAACTAATCATGTACAGAGGTACACGTAAATCCAAAGTAAAAATAATTTAAGCCTCCATTTGTTAAATAAACGTGCGTGATGGGATTTGGCTTGAGATCTATTTCTTACATTAAAAGGTTATCCCTTGAACCGGATTTTAATATTTGACTTTTTAAGTTAAATAACCTTTCTTGAATTTCCTAATTTAATCAGACGCATCTATATCTAAATGCATATCTGTCCATTAACATTTGTCGCTGTCAATATTTTCCGAACGACCCCATAAACCCCGCTACCTCCGCCCTTAGATCCCATCCCATTTCCATTGCGACAAAACAAAATATTGAAATGCGCATACCAAATTATTCAAATGCGTTAAGTTATGAAGTTATCTCGATGCCACTTCTGCTCCAGCAATCCCCAGGCCGAACCGATCCGAACCGAACCACTGAGTGACAGTGACAATGGGTTTTCCTCACGCCAAGCACCCCGTGGTCAGATTTTGTAGATGTTTTAGTGGGCATGAGCGATCGGCCCTGGACTCGCGTGTATATCCCATTGTCGAGGGCATTTGTTTTTGGGCGCTACAATTTCGTTGAGCGACTCCCCTGCCAGGCATTTATTTATGGGGTATTAGGCGGCCCATAGCGATCCGCTTCTTGGCCCAGCTCACTCCCCGCTTATTTTGACAGTAACAAGTTGGCCAGCAAATATATGAGCCGGGACAGTCACTAACTGTCGTCGATCGCCGTTCGCCGGGTCGTATCGCTTCGCTTCGCTTTGGTACATATTTCATCGATTCGTTTTAAAGATGAAGTTATGAACGCCAAAGCCGAATTCCAATTTAAATATTTGATTGGGACGCTCGCGAGCTGCGAGTTCCAAGTCAAGCTCCCCGGCACAATCATCAATTTATGCGGCGTGAACGGTTATCGTTTGTTGTTGTCTGTTTTAAGGTAGCCGTGGAAGCTTACCAAGAGGAGTGCTACGTGACATGCGCAGGTGTTCCAACCATCGATCCACCGATCCAAAAACGGAAGTTGCCTAAATGGGTCTTGGTCAAGGGTGGTGTTGCCAAAATGAATATGCATTTTGAACATATTCGATTTCGCAGATATTGTCGGGTAGGACATTTAAAAAAGTTTACTTAGATAAAGATTCGAAGTTTACTTGCAAAGGTACTTACTTAAAAAATGGTTTATACCCACACTCATAAAATTATTTTTCTAAATACTAGTAAAGTCTCCCTAAAAGTGAGATCGGTCAAAATTGAGAAAAATGTTCTATTTTTAAAGAAGGTAAGGGCTGAATATGAGAAAATTCGACGTAGAAAAATGGTTAAGGGTAAGTTTTCTTAAAATGCCAAATGTTTCTATAGTTAAGGGCGAATTTTTTCGAGCAGATGCTATTAAAACTTTTTTCTAAAATCTTAAATCAAAAATCGGTGGCCTGCCGGTCTAATGCCTTGCATAGTACACTTTCACATTCATCTGAATGGCGTGAGTTCAAGCCCACGAAAAGTCAAGATTTGCTTTTTTATTTTGTGCAACTTTTTAAAATTAAATTTTTGATAATTAGAACAAAGTCGCATGTAAATTTTTACAAAAAATAAAAAATGTGGGCGTTAGACGGGTTCTAGCATTAAGGACGATTGTGGTCTTTAGAGTGGGCGTGGCACCCTGCTGATAGTTTCTGAGATCTCAGCGTTCATACGGACAGACTGATAGAGGGACATAGCTATATCGTCTCTGCGAGTGATGCTGATCAAAAATATACATATACTTTCTGGGGTCGATAACGATTCCTTTTACCTGTTACATACTTTCCAACAAATCTAGTACACCCTTTTACTCCATCAGCACTATTTTGTCAAAACTGCTTTTGATGGAAAATAATTCTTTACTTTTGAAAATGTAATGTCAATGAAACATCAACCATTACTTTGAAATAACTAATGCTAACAAAATAGCATTGCATTAATTTTCCACAAATAATGCTCATGGCATAGCGTTGCATTACTTTTCAAAATAAATAATTCTAACGGAAAAACTATACATTTCTTTCGAGTTCAATAGAAAAAACTCATTATTTCTGGCAAAACTAACGCTAACAGAAAATGTTTTAATTACTATTGAAAAATACAATGCTAATTATTATTTTCCATTAGAAATTATAATGGTAATGAAAGCTGTTAAAATTAAATAGAAAATATTAGCACATTTTAATTGAATGTGTCTTGGGGGTCAGGAAAAGCTATGCCAAGTTAAATCCAATCCAATTTAAAATCTCAAGAATTCGTGGTTAGATAAGTTCAATTCATTACAAAAGTAATTCATTAGCAACAAGCCAGTCACTAGCAAAATTTTTTCCTATAACTGCAAGGGTGTATAAACTTCGGTTTGTCGAAGTTAACTGCCTTTCTTGTTTTATTACTATATATAGTGTTGTTAAATTTTTGAATTTTTTTTAAATTCCCGTTAACATTCCCATGTAATATTATAATTTTCTCTAAATCTTTTAAAAATTAGACCTTTAATAGTTTTCCGTTAGGCTTAATTTAAAAAGAAGATTTACATTGTATATGCTAACAGCTAAACTATTGGTCCGGTTAATAGTGTAAACTTATCAAAAAGTTGTAAAATAAACTTAATTTAGCTTTTCTTTTCTCACCATTTCGTTCTAATATTCAGAACATGGATACCAAAATGTACCTACGCGGTTTTTAAGAACGAATGTTCTCAATTTAAGAACAATGTACTTGAATATTTCCCTCTGTGCATGCATTGAGATTCTTTTAGGAATCTGAAGTCGGTGTGAGGTTTGTCGTATCACCTAATTCAGATTCTAGTTTGTAGCTTGCACCTGATATATGCATCTGATAAACCGTTGACAACTGATCTGTTAGGTCAAGTGCGTCCAAGTCGTATATAAGGTTTATAGTCGCTTTTACAGGGCTTATCAGATCGGGGTGGCACTCTGCCGTTCGACAGCCGACAACTTAATTTTCTCGCCTCAAGTAAAAAATGTAGCCGGGCTTATAGGCGTGAATAAATCAACGCGGCCGCCAGGCTGCGACAATGGGTCAAAGGCAAGAGATCATGGCATCTGCACATCATGGCTAACGGTAATGGGGCTGTAGTGTGTTGAGATCGCGCTGGAATCGAAATCGGAGTCGCAGTCGCGTTCGAGATGGATGCTTGCTTCATTTAAATTTACAAGAGGCACCACCTCAGACATCAACTACTTAACGCAGCCATTACACGATCGATGATGAGGCCCAGTCGATTGGGATGGCGATGGGGATAGGGACTTGGTAACTTCATTACCGCACTCAAGACCCCCAGATTCCAAGCCCGTTGGTTCCCCCACTCCCGGCAGCTACTCAATAGTCAGGTCGGTTGTGCGGTTCGGTTTCGTTTCATTTTTCGAACATTCGTGCACTAATGACACTTTAATAAATCATTCGAAAGGTGAGACATCGAGTGCAAGTTAAAGTCGATGATGGTCCAGAAGGGTGTTCACAAGAGAAACTGAAAAACCAAATCCAACACCAAATGAGAAATGCGGTTACTCGGCTCGTTCAGCAGAACAGAGAAATACCTTCGTCGAATGATATTTCACGGCTAGTGGCAGGCTTCAGGACCGAAACAGTGAGTTATGTAAATATTCGAGACCCTAGTTATGAGGAATTGAAACGTCTTGTCGATCCATTCGTAATGTGATACCATGCGGAGAACAAAAAATGTAAAAGGAAAAAATACTCATGACAAACATAAATGACTCTATGAAAATGAATCGAATATTCCTATATCCTAGGAATATACAAATTCAAAAATCAATCAATACTGTACAAGTACGCTTAGATATTTAAATAACAAGTAATTAAAAATATCCTGACGCAAGCTCGCACGTTGAATAAAACTCACTTCATTCATTCGACGAGCTTTTTGACCTTCTAATGCAGGCTAGTTTTAAAGGGTTGTTTAGTCTAAATTATGATAGCTTCTGCATGAAAACAATGGCCCAACTAAGAGATCCAAAAAGTCCAAAACAAGGCAAAACAACCTGCCTCGGCTTAAAAAAGATGATACCAAATTCGACTTATTTACGAAATTAACATTTTCCCGTTGACATCTTATTAATACTTCACACCTTTTTCTTCGGGGTTAAAATCGATTGATATTTTATTAAAATTAGTCAACGCGCCGCAGACAGCAAAAAGTCTCCATGAAAGAAGAAACTATAAAAGTCAAAGGCCAGACCTGAGATGCTCTACGATAACGGGTTAAGTTTTAGATCCAGAACTAAAACTGAACGGACGGCTGAACTGGGGGCAGTGGAACAGG